CCCCTGCTTGTGTTCCCTCTCTCGCTGTGTCTCTCTCTGTCAAATAAATAAATAAATAAAATCTTTAAAAAAATAAAATAAAATGTAGTGGATTTTAAAAAATTATAGATATGTATTTCTGGGTGTCAAAGTAAAAACTAGTAACTCCAAAGTAGAGCCTGAAAAACTGATTTGTGTTCAAGCCACAGTGAGATATGATGGGTCCACAGCTCAAATACATTCTGATGCACCTGCTATGTCAAGTTAGTACCTGGTAAAATATGTCAAGTTAGTACCTGATAAAATAAAAAATTTCCATACCTTCTCATACCACACCATTCTCAAAGACCTACCTTTCAGATTGTCACTAAGGTAGATCTTATACCGCAGTGAATTACAAAGAACAACTCCCACGAATTTTCTATACCACGTCCGCTTCACATACTGCCGACCATGGCAGTCGGTGTAGCTAGGGTCATGTTTGAAAGCAAATGGGATCCAGATGGGCTCACCACCTTGACAACACAAGACACACTCTCTCAACCATGGGATTCCACGATGTTTATTCTCACCCAAAGTATCAGAGAATTTGACTTATTCATTAGCCCTTTCCCTCCTCTCAGGGCTTTTCCCACCTCCCCAGTGGGCACTCTTTCTCTCATTCCCCTTCTTTCTTGGCACCGAAGTACAGCTGAGGAGCTCCTTTTACCTGAACATATTTAAAGTACGTGCATTTCTATAAGGGATTCTTGAAGTAAGAAAAAGCCTTTAAACTTCAAGGAAAATGAGATATAATGGCATATTTGATCTTTTGGGATATGCTATCCTACCTGCCCCCTCCAGAAGTCCCTCAGCATAGACTCTCACTGTTCTCATCCCTCCCAAAACCTGTCTTGAACTTAAGAAATAGGGCTTTCACAATTTGTTTGAAAACAAAGTAAAAATTTGTTGTACATTTAATGCATTTTGCTACCTTTTCAGCCATTTAAAATATTTAAAGGGATTAAGTAAATAAAGTTATCTATTTTATAGATATTGGCCACCCCATAATGTTTTCTTTTACAGATATTGGCTGCTAGGGTCCTATAAAAAAAATTTCCAGACCATTCTTTTCCCTAGATCAGGATAAAGGGGGCAAGGAAACCAAAGAAGTTATCAGAAAATCATAAAAATGCAAAAATGGTCTAGCATTTCTACTTGTGAGCAATCATAGCAATCTCATATTCACTATCCAACTTGATTACTAGAATGTCAAGTTTGTCAAGAAGAGAAACTTACCTGGTGGCCTCACAACAAGCAGAGGATTGTCTGTAAAATGAGAAAGAAATAATTGACTTCACTATCCTATTTCACAACCATGCAATTGTTGAAATGTTTATTGTGGCAGAGAGAGCTAACCAATGAGCTCCCTGGAATAGATACAAATATAGTTTATTCAAGCAATGCCAAAGTTTTCCTTAGTTTTTATTTTCTAAGCATTTCCTTTTGAAAAATATCCTTTTCTAGCTAAACTGCCTTGATATTTATACAGAAATTGTGGGTCAATATAGTAAGACTTTGATTTGGGGTATGACAGAATAATTCAATACTCGTCATTTTTAAAAGATGTGTCTATCTTGAGAAAACAGTTTGGTGGTTTCTTAAAAAGGTAAACATATACCTACTCTATGATCTATCCATTCCACTCCTAAGTATTTACCCACGAGGCATTAAAACACATGTCCATGCAAACACTTATACATGAATGTTCATAGCAGTTTTATTTGTCATAGCCAAAAAGTAGAAGCAGCTCAAATGTCTATGAATAAGTGAATGGGTAAGTTATGGCACAGCCATCTGATGAAATACTGCTAAGTACAAAAGATGGATGGATCTCAAAATGATTTTGCTGAGGGAAAGAAGCCAGACAAAAGAGTTCAGACTGTATGATTTCATTTATATAAAATTCTAGAAAGTACAAACAAATCTAAAGTGACAGACAGCAGATGAGTAGTTCCCTGTTAACAGGGGAAAAGATGCCCACATGGGGGGACAGGGGAGCTGGGTTGCATAGCAGCAGTGAGCATGTAGGGGTAACAACGATGTTCACTAGTGTGATTGTGGCGATGGATTCAAGGCGGTAAACATACTTTAAAACCCACTGAGTTGTACACTTACATGCAGCTTACTGTATGCCACTTGCATCTCAATAAAGCTGTACGTAAAACATCTATATCTTAGCCCAAGTAATGCCACTTAAGAAAATATGGCAGCACCTGGGTGGCAGAGTTGGTGAAACATCTACTCTTGGTTTCAGCTCAGGTCGTGATCTCAGGGTTGTGAGATCAAGCCCCGAGTTGGGCTCCACGCTCAGCGAGGAGTCTGCTTGAGATTCTCTCCCTCCCTCTTCTTCTGCCCCTACCCCCAACTCTCTTTCTCTCTTTCTCTCTCTAAAAATAAACAGTGTGGAGGTTCCTCAAAAATTTAAAAATAGAGTTACCCTATGACCCAGCAATTGCACTCCTGGGTATTTACCCCAAAGACACAGATGTAGTGAAAAGAAGGGCCATATGCACCCCAATGTTCATAGCAGCAATGTCCACAATAGCCAAACTGTGGAAAGAGCTGAGATGCCCTTCAACAGATGAATGGATAAAGAAGATGTGGTCCATATATACAATGGAATATTACTCAGCCGTCAGAAAAGATGAATACCCAACTTTTACATCCACATGAATGGGACTGGAGGAGATTATGCTAAGGGAAATAAGTCAAGCAGAGAAAGTCAATTATCATATGGTTTCACTTATTTGTGGAACATAAGGAATAGCATGGAGGACATTAGGAAAAGGAAGGGAAAAATGGGGGGGGGAATTGGAGGGAGAGATGAACCATGAAAGACTATGGACTCTGAGAAACAAACAGGGTTTTAGAGAGGGGGGAGGGTGGATGGGTTAGCCCGGTGATGGGTATTAAGGAGGGCACGTACTGCATGGAGTACTGGGTGTTATACGAAAACAATGGATCGTGGATCACTACACCAAAAACTAATGATGTTGTATCATATGATTTCACTGATATGAGGAATTCTTAATTGCAGGAAACAAACTGAGGGTTGCTGGAGTGGGGGGTGGGGTGGGAGGGATGGGGTGACTGGGTGATAGACACTGGGGAGGGTATGTGCTCTGGTAAGCGCTGTGAATTGTGCAAGACTGTTGAATCTCAGATCTGTACCTCTGAAACAAATAATGCAATATATGTTAAGAAAAAAAAAAGAAGAAGAATAAGGTAGCGGGAGGGGAAGAATGAAGCGGGGGAAATCGGAGGGGTAGACGAACCATGAGAGACGATGGACTCTGAAAAACAAACAGGGTTCTAGAGGGGAGGGGGGTGGGAGGATGGGTTAGCCTGGTGGTGGGTATTGAGGAGGGCACATTCTGCATGGAGCACTGGGTGTTATGCACAAACAATGAATCATGGAACGCTTCATCTAAAACTAATGATGTAATGTATGGGGATTAACATAAGAATAAAAAAAAAAAAACTAATGATGTATTGTATGGTGACTAACATAACATAATAAAATTAAAAAAAAAAACCCAAAACCCATTCCACTTAAAGAAAAAAAAAAAGGAGGGCACGTACTGCATGGAGCACTGGGTGTTATACGAAAACAATGGATCATGGATCACCACATCAAAAGCTCAATGATGAACTGTATGGTGACTAACATAATAAAATTTAAAAATAAATAAATCTTTTAAAAAAAAGAAAATATGGAACTAGCTTTTAAGGAATTCTGTTTTAGAAAAAGTTCATTTTTATAAAATAATTCTCTTTTTTTTTTTTGAAAAATTATCATGGAGTAAAACTACTCTTTTATGGTAAATATCCTGTGAGTTTCAACACATGCACTGATTCACGGAACCCTACTACAATCAGGATACAGAATATTTCCATCACCCCAAATCTCCCTTGAGCTGCTCCTTTGTACAGACCATTCACTCACTCCCACAGAAGAGCGACCTACTGTTAGCTGTAAGTGTAAACGCTCATTTTGCTCTCCTACTCTTAAGTTTCAATAGTCCGCTGAAACAATCTCAAATGCTCCAGGCTGGAGGGGAGGGGAGGGGAGGGGGGGGGACATATAGAACAACAGCGCAACACAAACAACATGGAAAGCTGACCCCTTGCTGCAGCCCGTGCTGACATAATGCGTTTACTTCGTGTATTTTTATGTTTGGCAATTACCTGATAATTTTCCTGTTGCTCAACAGCAGGGTTGTGAAAAGTGCAGGAGAAACTTGAACAAACTGACTGAATAAAGTGAAGATGGCCAGAGCAAATAATTGTCAAATTTCAAGTAATTGTCGAATTGTCAACTTTTGACAACTGTCAATTGTCAGATGCATGAGGATCTCCAGGGAGCTGATGGTAAAAGAGGTCTGCATGGGGGGGCCCTGGAATGCTGTCACTCACCCTTTGGAGGCCACAAAAGGATAAGGTGGGAGCATGGTGAGGCTCTTCTTGGGAGGGGGATAGCAGAGAGCCGTATTTTTCAATTTATACTGCGGTCTCAGAAATTACATTTATATTTCTATTCTCAGATTTGGGGCCAATTTCTTAAAGCTTTCTAGATTTGAATTTTTTTTTTCTACAGACTTTTATCATGTTAATTCTGATAGTCGCCAAAGGTCCATTCTCTTTTTAGGAAATGTAGCCATGAACATAGACACGTCCCCTACTTTAGCAAATTAACCCTTGAAAATGGTTTTCTTTGACTTTCTTAATTACTAATGAGGAACACATTTTTTAAATGAAAACACTTTTGAGGTCCTTTGCCAACATTTCCAATATGAAGCATATTCTCACAAAAGATTTTATTTTTTTTCCCACTTATTGTGATTCGGTAGATTTCAAAGCATCACACTTAAAAATATCTTCCAATGATCAATATTCTGGGATCAAGCTATATGTGGGAAATAATCTAACCAAACAGAAGGTAGAGCAAGGTTAGTGCGCAGCTGGTTCAGCCCGACCTCTGAAGGTGGCTTGGCTTAGAGGCATAGGGACCAGCTCCCAGTGTGGTTTCCTGTGTGGAAAGGCTGTTCACCCAGGACTGTCCCCATGGCCAGCTCTGGGCACACTGGTCAGACCACGACCACAGGAGCATCTTACAGAGGGCTGGAGAGCTCTGTATACCAGCATCCCCCAGAGCAGGGCCATCCTCCGAGTAACACTGCTTGTAAGATTGGGTAATATTCCAATTAAACTCTCCGTATTAGGACATCTTTGTCTCCTAGTGAAAGAACCACCTTGGAGACCTGACTAATTGGAAGAAGCGAATACCTCTGAGGCCACATGGCATTTATGCTCTTCAGCTGTTTTTAATAAAAAAAATTAGCTCTGCAACTAAATCTTTTACAGAGAGATTCAAACTTATCTTTCCCACATGGTTGAAAACTAGATTTTTTCCTTTCATTGGAATGTGACCTTTCCACTTCCCAGGCAGCTCCAATGAAGATTACTTTTTAAATTTTATTATCCAGATTTTAACACAGCACAAAGAAAATGATATTTATTTTATAAAGTGATATCCAATATGAACTCACTAAATAGAAAAATAAGGACTTTACTTCTTCAGTTTTTATTCTATTGTAGTCATGATTCCAAATTATTTGTCTTTGAGAAAAGGCAAAAAATGAGAATGTGAAGTCGCAGATACCTGATTCTGTAACAAATGAGACCGAAGGGCTGATGGGTCCGTAGCCATGTGGATTTTTGGCTTGAACTTTAAAATAATACCTGAAATTGGAAGAAAACATTTTTTTGAAAGAGAAGCTTGTTTAATTTCTGTATAATAAGACAGATTCCCAAACTACTGAGCACTTACTCTGTGGCAGGGTTTGAGTGTTATTTTGTAACAAATGCATACATTGCTGCTATTCATATTTTTTTCTGAACTTCCGCATTTTCCAATAACTTTTCAAAATAATACAATTCACAGCATTGACTCACATGGCTGATGGCATCAGAAGGAGCATATTGGGCAAAGAAGTCACGTAGAGAGCGTATGTTCCTTAGGGCATCACGGCTGCGTGGCCCCATGTGGATGGATGCCTCTCTCATCCTGCTCTCATCCCACCAGAGTTCCACAGCTCAAGCGGGAGAAACTGGAGCAGCAAAACACTTACAGAGCAAAATTCAAACTTAACCTAATTCTTATCACTGGACTCCGTCTGAAAAAGCAGGCTGTTTGACCCAGTAATGATGCAACTCATTGTTGGCGGAAGGAAGGCGAGCCAGTCCCGAGGTTGGCCTCCTCAGTGAAATGAACATGACAATGATGTCTTGGGCGCATGACAAGTGCTATGGTTGGCTCTGGAGCTTTAAAAGTCACTGAGTTTCGAGCTTCTGTGCCTCCAGGAAAGAGAAGCAAGTCCAAGAAGGGGAAGCGGAAAAGACCGGGAGAGGTTTTGCTGTCAGATTTATCCTTGTCTTGGAACAGAGAATGTACTTGTTTGTCTAGAGGGAGACTGAGAGGCTGAGTGGGTGGGGAGTCCCCAAACATCTTGCTCTGTGCTCTTAGGAGATACAGGACAAAAGGGGTGGTTAAGTAATATTAGAGACCAACACCGCAGCTGTGACCCACTATATGCACGGTTAATCTTCGTGTTTCCTTTACCTCTGGGACACCGGACATTATCTGTGCTCTCAAAGCCCTGAGCTACTCACAGGTGAAGAAAAGGGTAAGAAACCCCTGTCAGGGGTGGCTCTCTGCCATTTCAGAGAGTTCCTAACAAGTCTTTTCCTATGTCCGTCTTGGGACACAGGTTCTATGCACTAATTAAAATGCACTAAATTTTCAAAAAGGTGGATTATTTATTCGGAGGGCAAAGGCATATGTCTGTTACACCACTGTCCTGGGGCCAAGCCTCCGGAGCTCCTGAGATCACCCAAGGGAGCCTCAGGCTTCACAGTTACACAGAAATATTTGACTTTGGGTTTGATTAAACAGAGAGCAAAGAAATTTGGTAAATTTAGTCTTCTTTTCAGCCTTTCAAGAGTCATTCACATCTCATTTAGAAGAGAATCCTTTTTAACTTTCATTTTTAAAAAAGATATGCACAATTAAGAACATATGCGTTTCCAAATAATTCGCTCAGCAGTCCGTGTTTTCCCAATTATGCATACTTTTATTCAGTGGTTATGGAGTTATTTAAGGCAAAATTCTGCAGGCAGTGGGCTTGGCATACATCAATGATACTGGTCAAACTTTACAGATACTTTTTTTTTTTTCCTTAAAAAGGGAAATCAAAACCTAAGGAATGATACATCCTCAGAGGCTACATGAGACGTTTCTCCTGAGCGTTTCTTAAGCCATTGCTCAACTGGTCCTGACACCAGTTCCCAAGGTCCACAGAGGGAATCACGGCTCTACAATTGTGGAGAGGGTACAGGATGCCCGACCGGTCTGATTCCTTCGCTGTATCAATTCTGTCTCCCCACTGAAACCCAAGTGTTCCTCCTCATCTACTTTCTCTGTTCACACAGAGATCTTGAGTTTTGAATGTCAGGAGATGGTTATGTAAGATGAAGGTGTATTCATTCTTTCAGCAGGTATGAAGGAGTGCCCCCAATTCCTTCTATACGTACTTGGTGTTTGCTCTGCACCAGGCACCAGGTTATGCACTGAGGGTAGAACGGGGGTTCGGAGCAGGAGTGGGTGGACGTGGTCAGGGAGGTGGGCTATAAAATACAGAGGAACCGTCCTCACAGAGCTCACAGTTTGGTAGAGACAGCTTGTTTAGCAAAAGCATAAATATAATCACCAATCCATACCCTGAGGGAGACCGTTGGAGTTCCTCTGTCCTCCAACGAAGCCCACACGACCCAATTCCAAAGACATAATTCCATTTGAACCTCACCTACTGTGTCAAAGCAAATTTAAATACATGAAGCTGAAAAACACGAAATTATGGGGGAAAGTAAGGTTCCCATTTTCCAAACCACATTAAACTTCTTCTAGAAACTAAAATACAGATGCCATACTCTGAATAGTATCTGCCTCACCCAAGTAACAAGGGCAATCCATGCCTTTCCTTCTCACATAAGCTCTTGCACCTTCTTTTGAATAACCCCCCACAGTCTCAATCTTTGTGCTTTGAAGTATGGATGAAATATGCAGATTCCAGAAAGTGGTCTGGGACTGAGTTGGGTGAACAAGGTGGGCCATGTCCATTTAAGTCAAACACAAGATTGGGTTATAAAGAACCAAAGCTGGTGTCTGACATTCTGGTTCATCTTGAGGGGACTGACTTCTTGTGTCTCCCACAGACACTTGGAGGTAGGTTCCTGAGAAGCCCCGAGGACGGTGCTAACAACAGGGACACACAGCCTCTGTGGGAGAAGGACCTGGACCACTAACGTGGGCCCTCCGGAGATGCTCTGTATCAGTGTAAAGCAGGGAAACAATGAGCACCCTTCCACCAGGCTGTTGACAGGGGTTTTGAGGAAATCTGTGTAGAGGAGCCCCAAGTGTTCTGTGCCCCCGTCAGCGCCCTCCATCAGAAGCAGGAATAATCGACAGGCATCCCAGAGAAAAGGCTAGAGTAGCACCTTGCTGTTTCCAGCCTGGCTATCAGGGCACTAAATGTAGGTGGAGGGTAGGAGAGAAGCCACAAGGGACTCCCAAGGCCCTCTGGGACCAGCCTGTCCAGGCTCCCGCCATCCTGGCCTCCTTTCCTTCCTAGAACACACCATGCTGTTAGACATCCTTTCTGCCCAGAACAACTTGGCCTCACCCCACCCACCTTCTTCAAGTTCACAGCTGCTTATCTATTTCCCCAGGGAAGCTCACCTGACTACCCCACACCTCCCCACAAGCTCAGGAAAAAGGTCTCCCTCAGGGTATGGATTGGTGATTATATTTATGCTTTTGCTAAACAAGCTGTCTCTACCAAACTGTGAGCTCTGTGAGGACAGTTCCTCTGTATTTTATAGTCCACCTCCCCGACCACATCGACCCACTCTTGCTCCAAACCCCCGTTCTACCCTCAGTGCATAACCTGGTGCCTGGTGCAGAGCAAACACCAAGTACGTATAGAAGGAATTGGGGGCACTCCTTCATACCTGCTGAAAGAATGAATACACCTTCATCTTACATAACCATCTCCTGACACTCAAAACTCAAGATCGGCCTGGCAGCAAAAGTTGTAGAAAGGACATTGGCCAGAAGGGTAGGGGGGGTGGTCAGGAGATGGGGATTCAAGTTCCACTACAAGGAGCCATGCAGCAAAACCTCTCCTGTGCCTCTTTCAGCTTTGGGATGCTGAGGCTGTGCTGGGGAAGTACCGTCACTCTGCACACGGTGAAGAAAACTGGGTGTCGACTCCACTGTCTTAAATGTGTTGTTTTTGTTTGCTTTAATTAATCCATCTTTCCTCACGATTAGGGAAACATAAAGAAAAGTGCTTTCTCAGTTTCCTGTTTCGCTCCTTGCTTTTTATTTGCCAAATCCTCAAATTGATAATAGTTTGTGGACATTTAGCTCAGATGAGCCCACACGGAACCTCCAATGCCCTGAGGAAAGTTCTCAGCCAGTTCAGAAGTACCCAGGGCTATTAACTAGTTTCTATGCCCTTTCGGCACATTTCTGTTTAAGGAGAGTATTTTGTTTCAACCTTCTCCATGTTCCTCCAACTATACAGGAAATGAGAGTCAGGCCACAGACACGCCATTTCGAGCTCTTTGCTCCATAAATATGGGGCTTGATGTGACCTTGGGGTGCTGCACTCATTTGCACGGGCATGAAAGAGACAATCATTATTTATTCAAGAGTCCAGCAGGCCCCCTGGAAGGCTGGAATTGGCCACGGTGGGAATGCTCACACTACAGAAAATGGTAAGCACCATAAACCAGGGACTTTTTTTTTCCCCCAGAGAGCTGGTTTACACGCACACCATGCTTGACCCTCACGTGCTTTGCCCATTTTCACCGGAAAGCTCTCCTGATGATCATTACTATCAAAACCAGATAGTGTGAAAGAGGAAATGCACACTCACTCTCTTTGTAACCGTGGGAACAAGGTTTGTAGATTTCACACGAAGCATCACAAACTCTGGCTCCCAGACAGGCCTCTGGCCAGCCAAGCACCGCCCAGCTTAGCAAGACATGTTTGTAACCTTATCAATGTGTCAAATGCATCCTTCTAAATGGTCTGAACTTCCACATCATAGAATGTGAGCACCAGTTAACTAATATGTTTAGCAACTGCTGCCCCATTAATGTCACATATGAAGGTTGTGCTGCCTATTGCCACCACCTGGATGTCTGCACATGGATCCAAGTCCCTTTCAACAAACAGAACAACCTTTCTTTCCCCAGAGGCAGGTACCGTTTAGTCTCTGGAAAATTGGTAACAAAATATAAACACAACAGACTAACAACTATAATAGAAACAGTAATTTCCTCTAAGAGAAATATAATGACATATGGTGGGTATTCATTGATATTCTATGAAAAGTAAACAGAGACTACAAAAGAAATCATAAAACCTTTTCATTGATCTTTTCACTTTCAACCTGAGGCTATCTGTGACCACACACACAGGTTTCTCTCTCTCTCTCTCTCTTTAATGACTGACACATCATACCTTGTGTTTGGCTTCAGGTTCTCAATGGGCAAATGAGTTATTGAGGAAGCTTGAGTGGACCACTTGTTCCTAATGAAGTCTTCATAGGATGCACTGTAAACCAGGTAACCTGCAAGAGGAGATAGAGAAGGACCCACTGAGCATCAAGGAACCACATCACCCAAGAGGCATGCCCGATGGAGGAGGATGGGGAGGAGGCCATGGCCCAGAGGCATTGCCATCTGAGGGAAAAGTTCAAGAACGGGACCAAGCTGCATGTTGTGTCTGGGTATAACATTGGTACCTTCTTGTGAATTCAGATGTGGATAACAAAATTAAACACACTTCTTGACAACTACTGGTTCCCTACCTCTCTTCCTTCTCTTTATCTCCCACATTTCCTCAGAACTAATCACCTTGCCCAACCTTGACAGCACAGAGTAAAAGACGACAGAAGAAAAAGCAGTGACCTCCACACAAGTATTTAAGAATTTCCTGGCAGAGATATATACAACTGTCCTTACATGAAACAACAAAACTGTTGATGGTGAGTGCTGTGCGTGTGTGTGTGTGTGTGTGTGTGTGTGCACGTGCATGCACTCGCACACGTGTGTGGGACTGAAAGACCCCAGACTCGCAGTGGTCTCTTCACCCAGTTGGTGAAGGCTCTCCTTTGATTGCTAGTTGTTGAAGATCTGTGCCTGCCCTTGACCTCGATGTCTAGGGACAGTAGTCAGGCAACTCCTTCTGCCTTTTCTGCTATGAATGGACCCCAGTGGGCCCTGACACCTGCCCAGCCTTCAAGGAGGCCTCAGAAGGCCAAGTGAAGTCATGGCTCAGGGTATCCTCTACAGTCTCCTATGTTATACACAAAGGAAGAGAACATCCGTCAGGTATTTCCCATGAGCCAAACATTCCAAACGCATTCAACCAAGTTTTATTTTGATTAATTCTCCTGCTCCTAGTATGTAAGCATCACTATCCCCATTTTGACACATGAGAAAACTGAGTCTTAGAGAGACGTTAAAGCATGAGATGAAGCTAAAGAAGCACGGAGCAGAGAAAATATTCAGTGCCCTTAGGTCATGCAGGTTTTTGCTTTTCATTCTAAAAGAAAGGGAAAATCATTACAGGGTGGCACAATCAGACTGCCTTCAATGCCTCCCTCTGGTGCAGTGTGAAATGGGTCAGGTATGGGGGGGTGTGGATCGGGTGGCCCAGCCAGCCGGCTACTGTAATATCCAAATGACAGGTGGCAACAGCCCAAGTTAACTTGGTAGTTAATGGAGAGAAATGGATGGGTTCATGAGAAACCTGGAAGGTAAAATTGATAGGATTCAGTGATGAATTGAATATGGTGGGGGAAATTAAAGAAGATTTGAAGACAATCCCATGCTTACAGAAGTGAGTTGGGGAGTGCGGTCATTCTCTGAGATAGGAAATGCAGATGAGCAGGTTTGGGAATCAGAAGAGTCATGAGTTTGATTTTGGATATGCTGAGTCTGAGATGCTTTGGAGACATCCTGGGACCGATATTTTCCACCCACAGATCAAAGAGAACTCTGAGCATCTGCCTTGGACACACCTGTTACCACATCTCCTGGGGTGGCTTTGTCCCAGTCTACAATGACAAATGAGTGGCAGCCTTCCATAGCGACCACAGTGATGTTGCGGGGGGGATGCTGAGGAGGCAGGTCACTCTTCCTCATGTCGTTTGGAATGATTTCATCCAGGCTATCCACTTGAAAGTGATCCAGAGCATCAGTCAGAGAACATGGGGCTGATGGGTCTTTACTTAGGTATGTCACATAAGGAGCTGGAAAAGAAGACAGCCAGCCAATTGTATTGTTAAAGCTTTCTCTAGAGGCAAAAACATAATGTCTACTCCATGGAGCAGACCTACCATTCAGTCCTTCCCTGCTAGACAGAGGCTCCAGTGCCATCAGCCCGATGCTAAACCCAGAAACACATCCTTAGCTCTCCTTAATGGATCCACACATCTTCCAATCTAGTAGTTTCAAAAGATCCTGTTGCCCCATCAACATCAATGACTATGTCTTCAAAGTAATTCTGAAAGACCCCCAAACTATAATTCAATGTAGTATAAGTCTGTGGCATTCTGCCATTTGTATGCCCAGACATTTGGAAAGGTATGAATCGGGCCTAGCTGACACTTAACTAGAGCTCTCTCGGCACCGTTCACTCCTTAGACTGTCTTGGAACCAGAAAAAAAAAAAAAAAACCCCGATCAGGATATACAACTTCTAGCCTTCAGTCCTGGGTGGCCTTCCCTAGAGCTTCAGAGATACCCATAACCATCAGGGATATTTACACAAGGCCAGGCCTGAACAGCCTTTACAACATTACTGCTAAGTACAATACAGCTACTCACATTTACAGACAGGTTCAAGGTTTTCTATACACATTATCTCAGTGGATACAAGCCCTGGGAATAAAGCAGGACATGGACTGATATCCCATGTTCCAGCTGAGCCTACTGATGCTGAGAGGGCCCATGAAGCTCAGGTCAAACAGGAGACTCTACCTCCAGCCCACACCTCTTTATTATATATGCTCTGTAAGAAAATAGAAATGTCAAGGAATTGGAGCTGGGGCCTCATACATGCAAGATTCTCAAGTGCTTTCAAGTAACAATTTCTATTACTTTCTAAATATTCCATTGCATCTTTTGGTACAGGTTCTCATTCTTGGTGGGACTAAAAGCAATTTTTAGACTCTCTATTTTCCAATAATTTGTATAAAACGAGGCCTTGAGAGCCTGTTGATGGATCTAATCAGGAAGTTCTGGAGAGTAATCTACTATGCTTTGTAGAGTTACAGACATAGGAAAATAGCCGGACAATAGTAAGCCTTTCAATCTTGAGAAGAGTTCTGTGGAACAGCAAACGATAGTGATGAAAGCATTTTCATTCCTGTCAGGGAGCCACACAGAGGACAACCAGAACATTCAGCAAATTCAGCCAGCCTGCTTAATGCCAGGGGCCAGCATTAGCGCTTGCCTCAGGAATGCTACCTCAAATTAATATTCTTGTTCTTCAAGCACATGAGATTTAGACACTCAATACGACATCTCGGCTGGCAAGCGCCGTTCTCTGCTTATGGCAGAACATTTGTTTTGGAAACAGAAAAGTGTTATATTAGTTTAAGCTTTTGCCTGTCTCCACTTGGTAATATTTTTTTCCACTCCATAATACTAATCTAACGGTCTCGTTAGTGAAGTTCATTAAGGGCATGGGAAAAGAAGACTCCCAAAGGGAGTGAAGCACAGTTTAGCGAAATAGAATTTCCTCTTGAAATGGTTTAATAACTGAGAAAGAAGAGTCAAGTAAAATTCTAGGATCCCCAGTCCCCGAGGCTAATGAAAATTACAGGAAACAATGGAAGAACCCAGCTCTGGTTCTGTGGGACCATAAGAAGCACCAGCAGCTCAATTCGGTAAACTGCTCATCTTTGAGGAAGAACTTAACAATGTATAGGTGAGTCTCAGTGGAAGCCCCATCTTGGAAAAGTTGCTAAAACAAAAACAGTCATGTTCTCTGGTCCTGAAGACGTTTACAAGTGTTCCTTACCCTTGGTCTATACGAGGCAGCCTCTCAGAGCTCTATTTGGTTGGATACCAAACGGTCTCCCGCACAACCCCCTCCGCTGACTCCTGCAGAAAGCAAGCTAATGTGCCTTCAAGCAGGACTGACTCAGAGTCACTCCAAATGGAAACTTCGCTCCGGGAAAACTTCTGCTCCAAATGCGCTGCCTCAGCCAGGCCAAGAAATTAGTTACGCTCTTCCTCAAAGAAAAAAGTTAAAAACCCACGTTTCTCCAATTAAGGAAGTTCTATTTACCAACAAATCGTTTCTTTCCAGCCAGATCCAACTCTTCTTCAGGAAAGGAGCTAATGGAGCCTTCTGGCGGGATGACCTCAGACACCGCAGCCGTAGTGGAAGGCCTGGTGGTAGCTGGTGGCCTCGAGGTCTCAAATTCATAATCTGAAATGATATGAAGGCTTTGCACTGGGCCCTTCCAGAAAAGGGGCACCATGTACGGCCAACATTCAACCCAAGATTAAAGCACACACACACACACACACACACACAGCCAAAATAAATGCTGTGCTTGAATGTAATTTGGTCCCAATGAAACAGTATTCCTCCTACCTCAGTCCCCTCAGAAAAGCAGCTGCAGAAAAAAGAAAGGAAGAGGAAAAGGAAACACCTATGAGCAGAAAAATGAGATTTTACAATCAGAGCTGGACAGAACCTTAGAATTCATCCAGTTTTGCATGTTCCTGTTACTGACAGGCTCTGCCTAATTTTCTCCTTTAGAGCCATAAAAGATTCACATCAGAAAATAAACTTGATTTTTTAAAAAAATTTACCTTCTGTGTATGGGCTTCTTTTCTGGGGAGGGGGTGGGATGAATCCTATTAAAAAAACTAACCCTTAACATTTAAAAAAGAAGACTCTGCTCCCTTTCAACCGCTCAAAGATAATACGAAAATAAGAAAGGAGCTTATATTTTCAAAGGTGCTAAGAAACTTTTCTTTTTCTTCTGACATCTGTTGTTTTTCTTTTAAGTCAGGTTTTTCTTAAACTGTGGGATGAAACCAATGTATCAAACTTTACTATAACTGCATCAAAGGTGACATTATTCTCACATCGGTGTTTTGAGGCCACTGGAGCTGCAGGTTAACAGCAGAAAGGAAGCACAAAAGGGAGAATATCCTGAGTATCAAAGACCAGCCCTGCGGTGGGGACAAGATGCCCCCAGGAAAACTGCAGAGGCAATTTATAAAACCCATAGAACCATCACAGGGTGGCTCCAGATTCTACCTAAGGCATATTGCATTCTTTTTTTTTTTTTTAAGATTTTTAAAATTTATTTGACAGAGGGAAACAGTGAGAGAGGGAACACAAGCAGGGAGAGTGGGAGAGGGAGAAGCAGGCTTCCCGCCGATCAGGGAGCCCGATGTAGGGCTCGACCCCAAGACCCTTGGGACCATGACCTGAGCCAAAGGCAGACGCTTAACGACTGAGCCACCCAGGCACCCCAGCATATTGCATTCTTAATCTTATAAGCTTATTCCTGCTTGAAAAGATTCTGTGATAAAAACACTTACATAGCACTGCATTTCTTTCTTTCTTTCTTTTTTTTTTTTTTTAGAGAGAAAGTGAGAGAACATGGGCATGCGCACCAGCAGGTAAGGGTGGTGGTGGGGTGCAGGGGGAGGGGCAGAGGGAGAGAGAGAGAATCTCAAGCAGGCTCCACGCCCAGTGCGGAGCCTGAGGCGGGGCTCAATCTCAAAACCCAGAGATCATGACCTGAGCCCAAATGAAGAGTTGGATGCTCAACTGACTGAGTCATCCAGGAGCCCCCATAGCACTGCATTTTCTTACATAATTAGAAAAGGAGAGAAAAGAGAACAATGAGAGGAGCCAACAGAGGAAGTGGAGTTGTGGGTTGAACCAAGCCTGTTCACAAATGGCAGTGGAAGTGGAGGCCCAGACAAGCAGCTCCAGAGTTCTGGGGGGCGGGGAGAGAATGGGGGGCACAGAGGCTTGTCTGGAGGCTGTATTCACATATGAAGCCCACTCTTTTCCCTTGGATCAAATATGTACTGGGCACTAACTTGGAAGCTGGCGTACAACCACCTTCCTTGAGCACTGCCATGCAGCCCAGAGTTCTGAGGGAAACTCGGAAAATTGAGATCATCCACCTAGTAATTAAAGTGAGAGAAACTGTCCAAATCCAAACTGTGTAAAATCAGCTGGTACCTTCGTCATAGATAACGTACGCCTCTTCCGTGGGTATTGCGGTATCAGTCTCCAGTCCTGAGAATTCATCTAGTGAAGAAAGAGGAGAGAAAGGTTTCCTCTCAGCAGCTGGGACCCGTGCCCTGGGCATGGTATTCAGTCCCCACCATTCTTCCACAGAGGTCAGTCACCAGGCCAGGGCCGCCCAGCCTTCTCAGAAGGAAGAGCATTAGAATCCAGACACGAAACCCAGACTTCCTCTCCTTTACATTCAGGGAAGGGCACTCAGAACATCCCCTGGGGGTCAGAAGAAAGCCACCTCCCCCAGCACACCCACTCTCTGGCACAAAGTGCCTTCTGACCTCCCCTCTGCACACAGTGCCCACTCACCCACCAGCCCAGGCAGCTCTCAGAAGGCTGCAGGAAGGGCCCAGGTCCAGCAGGTCACAGGCCTGAGAACACACATTCTCGGAAAGCAGGAAGGTGGGAGACTGCTGCTCAGGGTGGGGACAAAAATCCCCCCAACTGCAAGCTCCCTTATTCATCAGGCCTTCATCCCCCTACCCCCTCGATCTTGCCACGATCACATGTTCTGGAAGCAGGGTGATTTCCTGCCTCTCCCACATTCTACGTTGGCAAACCACACCAACATGACTTCCCTGTGCTTCACTGCTTCCCTCCTAACCTTCCACCCTCTCTGGTGGGAAGCCTGCAGCCCAGGGCCTGTGAGATGCCCCGGCACCAGCTTCGCCATTGAGGTGGTGGCCCTCGGTGTGTTCTGATGGGGCCAATGGATGTCAGCAGGACAGAGGTTGTAAATTACCAACACCCTTCAGGGCTCAGGACTGTCATTTCAAGAACAACTATTAAGACATAATTTTCCTTAGGTCATTCCAATGTCAATATTCTTAGATCCAAGAGGAATTACTTCTGGGTTGGTTCAAATCAGACAGTTTTCAGGTTCACACCATCCAGTTTGGGGCTATCTTGCCATTGCTTCCTTGGGTACTATTTTCCTTCCCTTGTCAATTTAACTTTTAGGAACATGGTCCTGTTTTTCCTCATTCTTGGTTCACATTTGCTTCTTTTCCTTATTATTTTTAGTCAGATCAAAAATGAATAATTTGTATAACTTTTGCATCCCAGAGTAAAGAAGAAAAAGGAAAAAGATAGCATTTCTTGGTGGATTCTCGCTGTTGAGTGTAATTCTTGAAGTGCTGGAGCACTGCAGTGCATGCAGCAGGCCACAGAAATCATGCCTATTACCTGCAAACTGGGATCGCTTCTTGAATGTCAGTTAAGTCTTCTGGCAAAAGTAAACATCCTACTGAGTGATTCAGTGCTCTCTCTTTTTTTTTTTTTCCTTAAGCTCAGATAAAGTCAGGCATAATTTTCCTAAAATAGCACCATCTTGGCTCCAAGTAAAAGTAACTTCCAGATGTAA